GAAATAGCACGATTAAGACTTTCGTCCAATTCATCCCGTTATTGCAGGTTTGTTTAATTGAAATACGCTCCATTTGGTTTAGAATAGTGTCTGAGACAATATCTTTACTTTTTTTCTGAACATTTTGTAGGAGTGGGTATCTGACAAGAGCTGCAAGGAAGCCAAAGAGGCCTCAATCTACGGTAAGCTAAAGAGAGAAGAAAATCATTTAGTAAAGAGTACATGACAACTGATTTCTTGTTCGTTTAGTATTCAGATCACAAGGCATGCGATTTGAGATGAGCACCATAGTATGTATCTCATTGCTTCATGTTCTAATTGTTCCAATTGATCAGCACGTGACGTCTTCATCCGCCGGATGAAGACGAAACGAAGATCTAAAAGTTGTCTGTTTAGAACGGAAACTATGCGCTTTGTAGTGTCATTACGTTAATAGAAACAAAATGGACAGAGTACTCGACATTTTCCCATCTCCAATCTCTTTCTATACCGAGTAAAAAATGGTGAAATGAAGATGCAGTGACTGGCGAGTGATCAAAAGTTGAAAAAGCAGGGCTCAGTTAACAAGAAACGACAATTTGTAGTTAATACATGCTTATTTAGCGAAGGTAAATATCAGTTTCGATTTCGCTTTGGATTGAAGATTCGTTGATGATGTACATTTACTTACTCGATTTGAAACTACTGCGCATTTCGCCTACGCGAAACTCAATCGTTATATATCAGCGCCATCTTAAACTTTTGAGCTCGGTTTTTATGTTGGATGATTTTAGAAGGAGTAAGCAACCGGAGTTGACATCTAACTAATATGGAAAAGCAGGAGGGCTTGCGCAAATCCATTTCGGTATTAAGCTTTGTACTTTTAGGAGATAACTGAACGTAAAAATTTAATGTCAGTCACTCAGAATGCAACGCCATTGAACCTATTCCTATTTTAGAACCTCCAGGAAATTCTTTACGTGTTTGTGTTCAGTCGCTGCAAAGTTCGTTAAATTTGGCTTATTTGCATGATTGAAAATGTGTTCACTACAGGTGCTTTCAAGAGTGAACTTAGATAATCACGCAACATTTAAAATGCGAGAACATAATCCTGAATTTTTTTGTCCGATAGTAAATATTAAAACGAGGAATTGCTACCAATCTGCTCTTTCACAGTCCGGTGTTACACTGTTTGCTCCAATTAGCAACTTCTCCGGTGCTCAGACGCTTGTTGAAAGGCAAGACATCGGAGAGGTAATTTGTACAATATCTTGAGTGTTTCGTTCGCTTGAACACCCGCTCGTAACCATTACAGAGGCGAAAAAATGTGCTTGAAAGAGAGCACCAAGTGTATAAATGGTAATAAGAGTGAAAAATCTTGATAAAGTAAAAGCTGAATTTTTCCCTCAAGCAAAAAGTTAGGTGGCATTTCCTTGCGCAATCAGATCGAGGGCTTTGTTTCTCTCAAGCTCGTCACGCTATACAGTGATCTAGTGACAGCTCTTATAATTAAATAAGCTGGTTTTTTTTTTATCATGTTTTCTTTTTCGTCACATCCTAAACATTTTATTTTTTAGAGCAGTCTCTAGATGGTAATTACACGCAAAATTTCATTACAACAAAATGCAAAACTGGATCAAGTTTCTTATGTGCTTGTCAAACGTAGCAGGCAATTTTGGGGGATTTTTTGAGCGGTCTCCAGATAGGCGTTACACGCAAAAAGCAATGTTAGGTATTTTGAGAAGATTAAAAGTCATTGTAAAACAGGATTTCTCAAACATCAAACAAGAACCTCTATCAGGCAACGGATTAATTTCATTCCAGTAAAAGACATATCAAATTCAGTCGAAACGATGCTCTCACAAATTCCAAAGCAATCTCACTGGAAATTGTTTGTGGATAAATCCTTTGTAGACTAGCACAGTGTCTACAAGGAAAAGTATGGCGTTTGACTTAGGAAATTCAGGACTGATTTGCCTGGCTTGTCATCCTTAAGAATCCGAAGACGCTCTCTGTGTTATAAGATGAAAATGGAAAAAACATAGAATGCAGCGAAATTGGAATAATTTACTTTTGGAATCTCCAGCGAAATTGCGATTTCTGGATGTTTAGCTGCCGCAAAGTTTGTTATTTTTTGCTTATTATTTGCATGACTGAACAAACACTTAATCACACCAATATACAAAAAAGATGATAAAACTGGAAGGGGAAATTACAGCCCAGTCTCCCCACTCAGCATTTCAAGCAAAATCATGGAGTCCTATATCACTTTTTAACTGGCTGATTTTTTTAATTAATGAATCCAAGTAACCGGTCAGCGGCCAAGGAATTGTAACGTGCAACCGCGACTGGTGGGAGGGGTGTGGGGGGTGTTGGGAAGAAGTAATTTGCCTCAAAAGAGTCTAACAGTCCTTTCTGAACCAAAGTTCGGACCCCCTAATCAAAACTTCCTGGATCCGCCCCTGATACAACTGCACCTTCCGCGCGTATCGGATAAATTTGAATATGACGTCGTCGATGTCATCTAGTTTCCCTGCTATTTTGCAGCATTTTTAAGGGTTTTTCGCTCAACAATTTACAAATATAAAACGAAGCTATCGAAAATGAGCCATTTTTGAGGATGAATGTTCTCTGGGTGTTGATTTTTTTTGAGGCCCATAAGCATTGTTCGGAAAAGGTACTTTCCCCGTTGCTAAGGATATGTTCCACCCATAAAATTATCTTTACAATCACTCGCTATTGGAGTTTAGACGAAAAGTAGCCATTTGCTCAATCATCCCGCAGGTTTCTTTGCAGCTCAGTACAAGCTTACCAAGATATACAAGAATACAACGATATCAATTTAACTTATTTCACTTTTGGAACTTACAGGAACCTCTTAAAGTGTATGTGTTTTAGTCAATGCAAAGCTTTTTATAATTGGCATCTTTAATTTGCATATTTAAAATGCGTTTGCCGCATGTACTTCCAAGCATGAAATTGATTTGTAATCACGCTATTTTACTTCATATCACGCTAGCAAACACGGCAGTGGTTAAAGTGTCCGAATATGTTGCCCTGCAGTTTATGAAGGGACAAGTAATTGCAACCGGTTTTCTCTTCAACAGTCCGGCGTTTTACTTACTATTTGCTTGAATTGGTTTGCATGTAACGGCCAACACGAGGGGAGAAAGTTTCGCCAGCAACTGTAAGTTTTGCAAATGAAGACACACTATGAAGCGAGGATATATTTTATCGACAAGCCTGTAATCGTTTCATTTAACGTAATCTAGGCATCCAAGTACTTATCGTAAACCAAAATATGAAAATTATAAGGAAGAAGCTAAGCTAATATATGAACTAACACTCTAAACATATAGAAGGAAGTAGGCTTAAACCTAAAAGCAAACTCACAAAAAAATCACACACGAATGAAACTTATAAGGAATCAATGTCCGTACGGAATCAATGGCGTAGCAGCCGTTACAAGGTTTTTCCTCAAACATTTTCTACCAATTTCGTTTTCTAATTCCGGCATGGAACTCCCCTTTCTGCCTTCATTCATACTAAAAGTTACAACTTTCAATAGCCACCGATGTGTATAAAATAATTTGCAATTATTTGGATCATTACAGATCCTTCCAAGCGTTCAGTTCATTGAGCGGTGAAACTTATTATTACGGATGTCCTCAGCACTAACGACAAAAGATGGCTTGTGACTCTTGTTGCCTCAAATAAGGTTCTAGCGCCAGTTTTACATGACATCGTGAAACAAGGAATGGACAGGCTGTATAGTCACATTAATAGCCTGGTAACACCATGCAGTCTAGTAACACTGACCTACGGAGAAGTATGCAATCTGGTACCCTTTCCGAGTCCCGCTCCCCCCTTTAAAGACTTAAATTTTAGAAACATCAACAACAATTCTGCTGTCCATGGAAAAACCAAAACGGCGTACAACTACAATGTAAGAAGCGCAGTTGATCTTGCCAAACTTTACCTCCCAGATTATCTCGCTGCATTCTCGACATTTGACAAATCCATGGATTTGAGTGCCTCTCTCAGACTCTTGGGATGTAAAAAGTACCCCACGCGAATATATGTTTCTCGTGATCCTTCCGCGAATGATATCAAGTCATTGGCAGATGATGTCAGAGAAAATGTCAGGAATCCAGCAAGTCATTATAATGAGAGTCGTTGGGAACAGATCTTCTTTGACCAATGCTTCGACAAGCTTAAGAATCTAGTCCAAGGTCTGCCTCTGGATGTGGCCAAAATAAACGAGCTTTCAGATCAACTTTCGAAATGGAAAACAAAAGGTAATTACACTAAAGTTCAGTTACATCGTAAAGAGCATTCAAAAGATGACGCACTTATTAAATCGATCTCTGTGTAGGAATTTAGATAGGGAATTGCTTACGCCAACCCGAGTGGACCATAGGATCGTGGAGTGGCGGGGGCGCAGGGCATCCTTCCCAGGAATAAATTATACATTTATTGGTCGTTTGTTCATCTATTTCATTGTTTATTTATCAATTTATTTATTCGTTCATGGATCTCTTAGTAGTTTACTACCCTTTTTTTCCCTTTTTATTGAATATATTTCCGTAGTTAATCTTAGCAAGTCGATTGTATCTTGTTTTAGAAAATGGAATTTCTGGCGTTTGAGTGCCAACAAATAAGCCAGAAATTAAATATTTCTGCGGCACGAGAGCAACAGGACAAGGGCCTGGGCCCTTGAGTATAGATGCATTATGGGTATAGTGATACGATTATTAAAGCTTGTGATTGCACGTGGAGAATCATTCTAGGCCGACACCTTCTCAGCTATTGCTAAGTTTATTTGTTTATTTTTTTTTTTGTAAGTATGTTGATATAGCCTAGTAGGAAGGTTACGTGAGCTTAGGCCTGGTTCCTACCCAGGTTTCCTGTCTCTTTTTCCCTACGGGGTTTTTTATGGCAGGTTTTTTCTGGCCGCCGTTCTAACCACGATGTTTGCTAGTGGTTGCTAAGCTCTCGGTATGTCTACCTGTCGTGCGCTTTGGTAACGATTACCGAGAATGCAATGCTTTTGAGTATGTGTTCCTTCATTATTGTACGCTGGTGCTCGGCCGAAACATGCAAAATAACCTAATGGTTCACTATATTAGTGTCTGTTGAGTAGTGTAGCTGAAATGTAACTTCTACGACTGTTATATACCTTCTTTAATAACTTAAATGTTTTAATTTTAGAATTACGATTATTGTAAAGCGCCATTGAGCTCATTGAGCTATAAATTCTTGTATTATTGTTATTATTATAATTATCTAATTATTAATTTATTTTTATTTTCCATATTTGTTGTTATAAGGTTTCCAAATGATTGTTGATGAAGATGTAATAGACCTGATAGCACAATTTCAAAAGGATAGCCTGGAAGTAATCCAAGAAAAATTGGAAGATAAGCCAACGAGGGAAGAGATAGAGATCATGTTACAAAAGCTGTCCTCCTTTCACCACTCATTTTTGTCAGCAAAATTTGGTGAAGTTTTAAGTGAGCTGAAAGGTAAGTTCATCAACAACGCCATCTATTGATATACGCGGTAAATTACTTTGGAGTGAAAAAAACGTTATCTTTATTTTCAATCCGTTTTTGATTAACTTCTAGACAAAAATTACCACCCAACTTAGCACTCGTTCGTTTTTCTTTGCAAAAGTTCCCCAAATTCCCCTTTTAAAATTACATCCTATTATTAAAGTCTCATTTACAGAGCTGGATTAAAAATTAGTTGATTCATGTGATAGTTTGATGACTTAATTCTGAAATCACGGGATCTCGTTCTGCAAACTACAGTAGTACCCCACTAACTCAAACTCCCAAGGGAAACAAAAACTGGTTCAAGTTAGCGGGGCTTCGAGTTAGCAGATATATAATGACTGAAAAAATGAAGTAAAGAAAAATTGGGTCTTATTCGAGTAAGCAGGGGATTTGAGTTCACCGAGTTTGAACCAGCGTAGTCTACAGTGTAGGCGTATTATTATAATGTTTTAAGCTCGTGATTGTTTATTTGAAGGCCAAGTTTGATTTAGAGTCAGAGTGGACAGTGGGGGTAGGGGGCGGGTGAAGGGCGAGAAGACGCCTGCCCGAAAAGGCTGTTAAACACCCCCTGATTAGTTGCGCCTCACTGCATTTCCGGAAATGAGCAGGTACCTAATCAAAATAAGTTAATTTAAAATTCGGAAGCACTGTCTTCTGACAGAAACAAACACATTTAGAGCCGATGAGTAAAACGGCGAGCAGTTTTTTTTTTTTTTTGGACAATAAAGAAATGGCTTCTACAAAACTTCTTCCGCGGCACAGATACGAGCTGATATTTGCTGCACTCCTATATTTTCACTCTATATAGGGGTTCTACTCTATATTTTTTACATTTAAAGATTTTCTGTCTTTTTCTTTACAACTTGCACCTGTACCTGCAAAATGACTCAGACATCAAAGCTATCGCTCTTAATCAAATGAGCAGGAAAAGTGTTCGCCCTTCGAGATACAGCGTTTCATCTGCAGATACCACTTCCAAATTCGGAAAAACCAACGAAGCAGAGGTAACCCTACCCGAGCAATACGGACAATCGCATTCAAATAATTTAAAATTATCCGCCATTTTTCTGCCTTCAAATGCTGGTCACGGTAATGTAGTAAGTGAGGTGAAGAGTGATGTGTATTTCTGAAATACGATGAAAAAAGGCCGCTAAGGCCATACATATATTCGGGTTCTTGCTTGCAGTAGACTCTCCTTAGAAGAGGTGTGTCATAGCTGTTACGTGAAATACCACTGGATTGGATATTTATTGCCTCTTGCATCTCTAATTTAGGATAAGAATCTGGACTTAGAATGCAAGCATAGAGCCGAGAATGCTAAAGTAAGTCCAGTAATAAAATACTACAGCGTTTTGGTACATGTATTATGCTTTTAAAACTATTTTTATATGGGATTGATTTTTTAAAAGGCTGTGGATGAAGGAAAAACAGGAAAGTTCTCCCTCCGATTTTTCTATTTAGGACTTCTTGCCTTTTCCCATTTTTTAGGCTATTCTTCCTTATTTAGTCTTATTTAGTCAATCTGGAATACATATGGGCAGGTCAATGTTTTCCAAAGTTTTAAGTGCGATTTGACAAGTGTAGTGGAAAAGGTCGTTAGCAACCAAGAATCTCAGAGTTGGAATATGGAGAGGAGCATCACGCTCTCCTGGTTTCGTTCTGGAAACCTCCTTTGTCAGGAATATTCGTAGACTTTGGACGTGAGAAAAGCAGGGGCAGCCGTTATAAGTGCCGGACCCAGTTTATCACACGTGTTCTCAGGACTGAGAGTTTTTGAGGCAACATTAACCCTTTTTGAGCCAACATGAAACCATTAGAAGTTTGCAATTTGTATTTTTTTTTCGCTGCTTCCTTTCTAAGACGACGTTATTTCAGTATGTACATATGTATTAGAAAAATCGTGGTAATAAGACCATACAGGTTATCAAGAAGTACGATATTATAGCCCATCTTTTAGATTTTCTGTGAAGGAATGATAGCGCGACGCTAAACCACAAGGAACCATAGTATGTTGTTAACGGAAAACAAGAGCCCTTCTGTGTCAAAATTGGTTCACTGAAATTCACCACAAGAAAGTTTCAAGCGGAAAGAAAATAAGAATGCTCTGACAATATTTTTTCGTCTCTCCAGTTTCCATTAAGATAGAATAACTAAGAACTTGCGCAGACGGGTCTAGCATGTTAATGAAAACTGCATGTATTAGAGAGTAAAAATATTGTGACCATTTTGGACCATTTCCGAAAATAGCACAGTGGCTTAAAATATGTAGTAATTTGGATATATGAACAAAGTTGAAATGGTAAATTGGCCACCGTAACGATCACAAAAGCTGATGTTTCGAGCGTTAGCCCCTCGTCGGAGCGAATACGAATGTGCACAAATACGAATGTGCATACTCTGCACATTTGTATTTGTGCTACGTTTAGGAAATGGATAACCATGCGTGCTTCTTTAAGTTACATCTATTGTAATATTTGAATTACTTGTAAATTGCTTTCCAGTCACATTCTAATAGAGAATCCCTTTCTTACAGTTATCAAGAAGGGTACTACACAAAGCTGCAATCAACGGAAGATGTGACATTATCTAAATACTCCTTGAATACGGTGAAGATGTCAACCAAACAGATAGGTTGTTTGGTTTACATATATTTTTTTTCAGTTTACCTTCTGACGTCTCTTTTCTATTTATATTGATATTCTTAGTTGATAGTTTGCACGAGTAGTGGATGCTTTATTTTTTTTTTGGAGTTTGGATTGACGCCTCTTCACCTTGCTGCATGGTATGGACAGAGAGCTGTTGTAAAACTCTTGTTACAGCACGGTGCAAATGTCAATGCTGTAGATAGGGTAAGTTGCTCGCCACTAGTGTTTGTGTGTTCAACATGATGTCAAAATTATTTGTATAAATTGTCAGGCGCGCGGTTTGACTGTATTCCAAAGAGTTGAATAACGTCTCGAAAAGATTCCATAGTCAAATTTTTCCCCTATCTAATGAATATTCGTCTTCTGGAGCGCTTTGCAGTAACTGTCTTGTTTTGACCGAGGTGAACTTTTTACCTTTCAGTTTCAGAAAACAGCTCTACATAAAGCTAATCGCAATAATCACCGAACCATAGTTGAGCTGCTGCTTAGGAATAATGCGAGTTCCGAGGACAACCAACCGGTACGGTATAAAAGTATAAAGGGCTGATAGTTTCGAAAGAAACTGTTTGGGGCTGCGTCGGTGGGAGTAACAAAATAATTTGGATATATCAACAAAGTTGAAATGGTAAATTGGCCACCGTAACGATTACAAAAGCTGACGTTTCGAGCGTTAGCCCTTCGTCGGAGCGAAAAGAGGAATTGTGGGTTGTGTGTGCTTTTAAAGGCAGAAAATGGAGCTACGTTATTGGTGGGAACATGGCAACGAGAAAAACAGTATAAAAGTACACTATACACGGTATAAAAGTACACTACTTCCATGATTTGTGACCGCACAGAATGGGAACAGGTTATTTTGAGTCATTTTGATCAAGAAAATGCTTCTCATTTACCTTGTTTATTTCCTGTTCGTGATAGCTGTCGAAATTTGTAGCTGTATAGAGGGTTCCGATTTAACTTCGATCTGCCTCGATGTCCTCGTCTGCGTCTTCATGCGCGTGGTGTGATTCGTCTTAAGGGCGCATTTGTTCAAAAGGCAGATAACGCTATGCAACGGATAAATCGCTTTCCAGTAGACTAGTGTGAAAAAAAAAACCCTACTGCGCTCTTCATCGGATGGACATTTATCCTATGGCGCGTATTTCAGAACAAATTTGAATTGATCTCGCTTCCTTTGTATACATAAGTTCTGATTTCCAATGAATGTGGTATGTCTTTCAGTAGTTATGAACTCTCTTCGCTTTTTTTCCAATGATTTGGCTCATTATCGTTGCTTGTATCCTTTTTTTAGGAATATGAGTCTTATTTACAATTAAAGGATCCATATGGAAGAACCTTTAGCTCACGGACTTGATCATAGTTTTAAATCTAGGTGGAACACGTTTAGATAAGTCAAACTTATATTAGTCTTGTACTAGTTTGTTCGTTTGCTGCGCTTATTTAGTGTACATTATCTTTCATTACAGCCTAGCCTCAGATCCCTTTCAAAGAAAGCTTTTCTGCACGTTGATGCACGATCCGGCTTCAATCGACTACACGCGGCTGTATTTCATGGCGACTATGACACGGTTTTGAGAGCTTATGCCTATCTTGATAATTTGGTTCAAGACATGAGTTTTCACAAAACAGGAAACCAAGCAAAGGCTTTTCCTGGAAAAACTGCGTTAGAAATTCTCTTGGCTCTGCAAGAAAAAGGAGAAGGAAATGTTGATATAGACAAACTGTACAAAGAGGGCGTCGAGAAGATCGATACATTAACTGAGCTCCACTTATGTAAATGCACCAATGATGCAGAGAAGGCTGTGGAGATTGTTCTAAACGAGGGTGTAGATATAAATATACCGGGAAAAAGCAACCGCACACCTTTGATGTGGGCAAGTACATCATCCTCTGAGTTCATCAAAACCCTCATTGATCTTGGAGCTGACGTTAATGCTCAGAGGACAGATGACCAGACTGCACCTTTGATATTGGCAACTTGTTGGAACAACTACATGGCCGCGGACATCCTGTTGAAGCATGGAGCTGATGTGAATATGAAATACAAAGAGAATGCAGGTGAAAGAGTTTACATTGTTCTTGGGAAGAACGGAGGGGAATCAGCCTGGCAATATATTCTTGTACAGAAAGCCCTTTTGCCCCTGTTCTTGAGGAAGACTCCAAGTGGAAGTCTCAAACTTGCAGCCTTTGGAGAAGTCCTCAAATCTGGATATGGAGAGGACCCTCCTGAGAGCGTAAGAGAAGAAATTAGAGAGAGAGCGAACGCCTTCCACGACATTGACAGCTTTACAATACTTCATCTTGCGAGTAAGAAAGGTGGTCCCGATATTGTAGAACTTCTGGTGA